GGCGTCGTTGGCGAGTGCCACGATCCCGTTCTGGATCGGGGGTAGGAGGAAAGGAGCATGGGGGATCGTGGGGGTTTCTCCCCGATCCAGATTGGATCGGGAGAGGGAGAGTGGGGGCACGAGTGGGGGAGCGGGTGTCGGTGGGTGGATTAGGTTACGGGGGAGTGGGTATAAGGGAGTGGGGGTGGGCCTTGGCCCAGTTGGGCAGGCCAGCTGGCCGGAGCCCAGTGGGGAGGGGGTGCTTGCTTTTCTTTCCTTTTTTTGTTTTCTCCTTTTGTATTTTCTTTCTTTTGTTTATTATCTATTCTGTTTTATTTCATTTTAAATTATTTAGGCAATTTCTAAAAATGAGTTTGCTGCACTACAATTACCTATGCCAATTTTGGCACAACCCGAACATTTTTGTTATATCTTTTGAAAACCTTTGTTGTTTGCCTATATTTTAAATTTGAATTTAAATCATTTTGAACTAACACGAGTTTACCAACAGTAACCAAGGTGACGTGGCATCATTAGCGCAGGGTTACTGTAGCTTGATTACCCGGGCGTCACAACTAAGGTTCATGATATGATATTCATTATATTACATGGTCATCACAAATTCATATCGTAATGTTTACAACCTGGGCAATTACAGTAAACATGCCTTTTTCTTAAAGAAAATACTATAAGAATGGGACTGCAATATATAATATAAGCTACATATTAAGTGCACTATACACTATAGTGTATACTTCACCATTTCAATCGAAGAACAACAATGATAGAATTTGAAACGAAAAATACAGACTTGAAACATAATACCAAGAGGATTACATGACCTAGCGTGGTAGGGTCGCCGACGCCATAAACTCTTGCTCCAGGTTGTAGCAATTATGGCTCATTTCAGAAGCCGAGTTAGCTCTGTCAGCAATCACCGGCCGACGTGTGACCTGGCTTTGTCCACATAAGAATGGTTGCATACTTTCATTTCTTGGAGCAACCTGACACGATCTCAACCTTTTGGATCGCACAGCCTGCAATATCATCTCCACTTGTTTCATAGTAGGCCTCTCATCGCCTCGGAGCCGCAAGCAAGTCTCTGCAAGAGCAGCGACATCATGAATTTCTTCCTCTGTTGCCTCCTCCAGCACTTGAGCATCAACTATTTCTGCAAGTGGTTTCTCATTCATCGTAGAAAGGAAGTAGTTGGATAAATTCTGCTTTATCCCAGAGTCACTTGTAAAAATAGGCTTTTTTCTTAGAAGCAACTCTACAAGTACTACACCAAAGCTATAAACATCACTCTTCTCATTTAGTATGCCCGTGTGGTAATACTCCGGATCCAAGTATCCAAAGGTGCCTTGTATATTTGTAACCACGTGAGTTTGATCAATTGGAACCAATCTTGAAGCACCAAAATCAGATACTTTCGCCGTGTAATTTCCATCCAAGAGTATGTTCGTGGACTTGACATCTCGATGAAAGATTGATACTGAAGCAGCTGAGTGGAGGTAATAAAGTGCGCCGACAGCTTCTGTAGCAATTCTCAAGCAATCATTCCAGGACAACATGGAGTCGTTGGTTGGGTTAGCATGGAGGATTCCAAATAGTGAACCATTTGGGATGAAGTCATATACTAGTAGTGGGACTTCCGTCTCAAGACAACATCCAAACAGCATGACAATATTACGGTGGTTTATTTGCGAGAGGATAGCGACCTCGTTGATGAACTGAGTAATCTCAACTTGCTCAATAACTTTAGATTTTTTTATGGCTACTACCCGCTGGTCAGATAATATACCTTTGTACACCATGCCATGCCCTCCGCGACCAACAACACGTGTGGAGTCAAAGTTATTTGTTGCCTTTTCTAGCTCTGCCAAGGAAAAAATCTTGGTCCTGTCACTTGCGTTTTCATCCGATGAAATTAGTTGTTCCAGTAGGAGGCCTTGGTTCTTTCGGAAGTACTTTCCACGAAGTTTTTTTTGGATGCCTCTTTTCCATCTGCGGATGAGAACTGTAACACTCAAGATAAGAAGTAGAACACCGAGGCCAACACTAATCCCGATGGTAATACCTGTAATGAAGATGCTGCTCAGTATTATAATGTAATTCCGTTTGTCTTGTTGCAGTAAATCAGTTATACCATAGAACTCACCTACTACAAGATTTTGGCTTTTTATGGATATGCACCTCATTGTTGTAGTGTCATACGTTGTTTTACCAGAACATTCGGTGCAATAGTAGCTTCCCATAATGTTATTACAGATTTCTTTACAAATACCCGGCGCCTTGCACTCATCAATATCTGCAATATAAGAGATGCGCAATGTGAGAAGAAATATAAAGCAGAAATAATTAACTTGCCGGTTGGTGCCTAATTTGCAGGCGACACTAGATTTTGTTGCTTTCAGCTCCAACTTAGAGGAATATGTAATACCTGTTCGTTGACCAAGAGTAAATTTGACAATGTAAATGTTTCAAGTATAGAAAGTGAAAATAAAATAAAATATATTTTAGATGAATTTAATTACCTCGCCTATGTACACCAAGGATTCACATAGAATTTCTGCGTATAATACACATGCCTCATTCTTGGAAAACCATTTATTCTTTTTCTTTCCACCATGATATGTCAATAAAAATATGTACTTCTGCACTATTCTCATATCACATGTTATGGAGTTTTTACTTGGTCCATACTAATGGAGTGAAATGTGCCACTTGTCCATTAACTCAAAGTGATTGCACGCTGCCAACAACTTGACAACCAATCACTTTAGGCCGTAAAATTATTGATTTGATCAAATAAGGTCAAAATCGACTTAAGAGGGGAAAAACCAGCCCGCGTGGCTGCCACATCAGCGTTCCTTTGACACTTTCAGATTAACATTTTTTTACAGATTTCTCACAAACCAGGCTAACAGCATATTGAGGGAACAAAAAACAATTAAAAAAATAGGATATAGATGAGACTAGAAACCCACAATCTTTGGGCAGTAGCAACGATCTTGCTAACTACTAGACCATGACATTGTTTGCTTTCTAAGATTTAGCCAACCCTATTTATTAGAATTATTACCTTTGACACACGTTTTCAAAAAAATTAAGCCACCCTGCGTTAGGAAGGGCTTGAGCCCACGCCCAAATAAAAGGAGCAAAGATGCTGACCAATGGTATCCGAAGTTTTCTGTGTATCGAGTCGACCGCTCATCTAGTCTTTACATAATATCTATAGTCCGGCAAAACAACATAGTTTCTATAGAATCAGTGGAAAATTAAAATGTATGCCAAAAGTTTCATTCTACTCCCTCCGATTCCAAATAATTAATAGGTGTACACCATTATCCATGTTTTTTCTCCAAAGAAGGGCGCATCATCAAAAAATTACGGCAACTGCCAAAATTACCTCTCGTATCTCTTTTTCCGACCAATTTAGCTGGGAATAAAGAAAAAACATATTTTTGCTCTTGGGTGCCGTGGGAAATGAGGAGACCCGCCTATCTCTGATTTAAGAATTGTTCAGTTATGGCATGTGATTATTAGTTGTAGTTACAAAACAAAATAATAGCATGATTACTTCTTTAATCAACAAGCCCAAACTTAGGTGCCATATTTGCAATTGGAGGAAGTAATAAATAGAGTTGGCTGAATAACATGACACAAAGAAGTTTGTGGTTTAGTGTTCAGCAAGCGGGAACTAATGCTCAAACTCCCAGCTTCAAGTCCGTGAAAACCGTGTTTTTCAAAAAAGAAGAAAATTCACCCGCACGCTGATGGCATTGTTTTGTTAGAAAAAAGGAGACCAATTCATAAATTTACAAATAGATAATT